AGGGAGATCTGATGGAACCACATGACATTAGGAGCAGGTCCCATTAGGGAGGTCACAGCACACCAGGACACCCACAGCCCCCAGAGCATCCCTCAAACAGCCACAGAGCTGGGGAATAGGCATTTCTGGAGAAGGTCTGATGAATTTTGTTTACTAGAAGTATCAGCTAATGGAAATCCCACCATATTATTTCATGAAGGAGCTGGTGACTCAGGATAATAGTTGGTTAGTCCACTTTATATATGCGCTTTGTGGGGAGTGGCAGGAGAGAAGGGAAAGACAGATTCTTCCTCATCATTCTTTGTTCCACTGTATTCTCCTTCCTGCTTAATCAGTTTCCCCTCCCTGTAGCATTTTGCTTTGCTGCTGTCCTGCAGAAAACCATAGGTAGGTCATAGATAGTTCGTTTTTCACAGTCACTACCAGATGAAAATGTCCTACAGTTGCTTAGCACTGAGGATCTTTGTAAGAATTGCTACATTCCAATTTGTTACAGCACTGATTTGATCTTCCTTTTTTCCAGCACCATCCAACTCTTCAAGAACTTCCTGTCCTTCATATAACCTGGACTTCTTCCAATACTTACTAATCTATGGAGCTGAAGAAAAGAACCAAAGCAGGCAGCAGTGGTGAGATAGCATTCAACTCCTTCATTATCCTCACTTGTAGATCAAAATTTTCCTCACTCCTGTTCTCCTTACTAATTACGGGCAAGGGTGACCCAGATATTAAACCAGTTTCCATGAAGATGTATGGAGGAAGGCATTACATAACTACCACAGTTCAGACATTCAGTTTAAAAAAGCAGATGCTTTGCTTACTTTCAGCTCCCACAGAGGTACAAACTCATGAGGATATGCTGTGACACCATTTTGATGAAGCTAACAGAAAGGTGAAAGTAGCCAATTCAACTAATGGCCAGTATTTCTATATTCTACAGTAGTTAAGCTGTAACAGAGGCTTGGCCCTTTGACTTTTGTAGCTGGTTCACCCCAAATTTGGTATCCTCACTTCAGCAAAACTATAAAAACACAATATTCATAAGAGTCCTTAGTATTACAGCAAGCTCTGTGCAAAAAATTATAAATATTTTTATTCTCATGAGCACACGCACCCTTCTCTGTGATTTTAGCTTGTTGGCTTCTCTTTTGCTTGTCTGTTTTAGAAGAGGCTTCAAAGGCTTCATAATCAACAGGAAGGAGAAGTTTTACATAGTTTTGGTGCAAGTTCAAAAATTGGTCTTGATTTACTCAAAAGCATGTACACCCCCAAAAAGGTTATTTCTAGCACAATTTCAGTATTGAGTATCTTCCACGCACAGCTCTTGTAAAGGAATTTAATTTATTCTACTGACAAATGTGGGGCAATGCTTCCTATGCAGAGTGCTTTTGTACCTTGTCACCTCTATGATAAAATTAATAAACAGAAACATTAACAAGTCATTTGGCAAGTCTGAACTAGTTTTTATTGAAGATGAATTGCAGTAGCCTTCAACCTGGCAAAGATTTGTGCAGATTTAGCTACACTATCAGAGAAATTCAGGGACTGGCAGTGGAAACAGAGAAGCTAGAGTAGGGAATTTCACTAACAAAATAAACATTAAGATTTCAATTCACTTCAAGGAAATAGAGCAACACAAGCAATGAGATTTGATTAAGGGCACTGCCGTCAAAGGACTGGAATCAAACAACAGGTAAACGCTGGATGGATATAACCACTTTGATCAAAGTTTGCCATGACCGTGAGATGCTAATTTCTCACAGTTAACACTTACACTTAGCCTTCTGGATTTGATTGTGCCTGTCTTTAAGCAGAAGTACAGTCCTGACCCATGGTGTGACCTCCCTCCTGAAGAAGGATACAACTTCAGTCCCTTGCATGCAATGCCGTATTTTGCATCAATGATCCTATACATGGATGCGCCCACCCCTAGATTTAGACAAGGCAAGCCTCAGGCTGAGCAGCAGAATGGACGGAGCGTACTTACTCCAAGATTTCTGTCAGGCAGCTGCCACTCTCACGTCC